CGCCTGAGAAGTGACAACACGAATGAGCACAGCTGTGAAATAACAGCCTTATCCTCTGTTATTAGTGCTCTGGGTGGATGGCAAGGCTCCAGTTTTTAGCCACGTGGCCTTTAAAGTTACCTAATGTTGCTAAGCATCAGTTTCTTCATCTGTAAGCTAGAAATAATAAACATACTTACCTTACAGAGACACTATGAGAATTAAATGTCTGGATGCAGGTGAAAAGCTTAACACAGAATCTTACTAAGGTCTCATAGTTAGTTATTACTGTAACTGTTATAGTTATTAGATTATTATTTATGACTTATAATATGACAAGCACTATGAGAGAAAAGTTGCCAGAGCATTGCCAATGACTTCTAGAACAAAGTCCCCCATTTTGCCCACTAGAAATACATTACGTATTATGCAGCAAAAGAAGATGACTCAAATAGGGTCAGAATTCACACTAGGAAAAATACTCTACACACAGCTCACAAAAAGGATTAGACCAAAAGCACTTGGAGACCATGATAAAAGGATGACACAGTGAAAAGAACAAGAGATTAGGACCCTAGAAACCAGTGTCCCAGTTGAAATCTTACCAGCACACTCAGATGTATCACCTAAGGTCTCTGCATTTCCATTTCCTTCTCTTTCAGACAAATCAAAAGAAAGGTCCCTAACCTACTTTAAGATGCCTCTACTTTAAATGTGAGTGGTAAGCAATTTGTGTGGGGGGGCTTGTGACTAGAGGCAACTATTCACCCTTCTCCTAGGTACTTGAAGAAGGGGGCCCAGGACTGCTGCCAGATCTGCTGGGTCAGCCTCTGAGATTTAGAACCCTGAATTTATTTTTTTTGCTTGCTCTCTCTCTCCATGTGCAAATGACCAGTGGCTTCTCCTCTGATATATCTGCTCTTCTCACAAAACTCCAAATGTCTCCAGGCTGAGTTAACTATTAAAAATAGTCACTAGCAAAACCCAGGAGTGGCTGGAGAGGTGATGCTGGTAAGGGCATCTCTGACAGAAAAAGTAAAGATAGATCTGAATGAAGTGGGCTTTTGATCCTTATGCATAATTAGAGCTTCAGCTTTGCTGCCAACTGTGCAGGAAATCACGAGAAGAATGAATATTCATGTGTGTAACTTATTTCTATAACATTAAGTTGAACTGCTCTTCATTTTGAGATAAAACTCATTTGCCTCTGTATTTCTTAGTGCTCAGTTTATACCTCCTTTAAAAGAACAGACTTCCTACCAGGAAAGAAAAATTCAACTGTTAAAAATTCAAAACTTAAATCCACTATTTTCTTGTGAAGCATGTGTCCATGACAATTTCAATTCATGTCTACAATCTGCATGTTCTAATACAAGGCTATACAGTAGAACTTGAAAACATATACTTCCAATCAGCAGGTTAAATATACACTTTAAAGATGATTCATTTTTTTTCTTTGCTTCCTAGTGAATTTTTGGAGAAAAGAAATAAAGAGAATGGATTGTAAGAGACAAATGGCATTTTTGAAGTTATAAAGAATAATCCTTAAAAAAGATAGAATTCTAAGAGACAGCAGTTCCCCAGTATATAATTTAGGTATAGAAACATACAGCACTAATCAATACCTTGCAAAGTTAAGGAATCTAAAAAGACTGTCAGAATGACAATTGCTAGTTGAAGTATTTACCGCTTATTTTAGCACAGATATGAATAGCACAATGTCAAAATGAGAGAACAGACACTTTGAACAGAAAAATGATTCATAGATACAGAGAAAAATCTTACCTTGGAATTATAACATCAATATTCAAAACATTTTCATTTTCTTCAATGCTTTTTCTTCCCAGGATGTTTGTATGAGGTTTTAATAACTTAGTAGGTCAGCTGAGACTTAGAAGTGTGTCTACTTTTATTGCCTCAAAAATACCACATAGGGCAGTAAGAGAAAAAAATGATGCAAACAAAAAGGTGACAATTTCTTTAGCTTGCTGGTGAGGTTCCCTGTTGAATAAATAGGTTGGGGAAATAGGGATGTGGCCTCCCTGGAATTCTTGTGCCACTACTTCTCTTTGGGGTGTTTAGCACTTCCACCTCTTTTCTTTCTTATTTCCCTAAGGCTGTGGTTGAGACTCAAGGTATATTTTTCAGCTTCTTACATATATCAAGGTTGAAAGCAGAAATACATATGAGAGCAGGCAGGTGACAACACAGAAGAATGAAGCAGACAGCAGTGACCTGGAGGGTCTAGGGTTCTGCCTTCCAGCTGACAAATCCCAGGAGCAAAAGGTCAAGTGGCCTCAAAGTTACTGACTTTTCAAATCAATCTGGGTATTTCAGTGAAGCCATTTGATTTCTGAATGTTGGTTCATTTTAAGAACATTTTGGGTTTAAGGAAATATTTGGTTCTGGGTTGCATATCCTAGACTGAGTACCTACTTGATAGTAGCCTGGGCTACAGTGCTGCTGGTGGGCCAGCCTGGGGAGTGCCCAGACTGACTTCCAAGGCCAGCTTAGAGCCAGCTCTCCCAGCCTTTCCATAACCTTGGTAAGCTTCCAATTCTGCTCTTCCTCAGATGAAACAGTTTCTTGTTCTTGCTACTGAACCCTGATAGCTAAATATAAGAGATAAAATGGCAACTTGGACATACAATGCCAAAGAAGATTTATTTGAAGCAATTTACTTCAAAAAAAAAAAAATAGAATGTTTATACTCTGTTTCTGTGTATGTATAATTTGCCGAAATACATTCTGCTGTCATGTATAACTAAAAAGAACAAATAAAAAAGGAAGAATATCATAGAGAACTGAATTTTAAATTTCCCCCATCCAAATCTATATGCTAGCCAGCATCAGTGTAAAGAAAAGTAGCAAGAATTATAGAACAGCTCTAGGAACATGCAGAGTAGAGAATATAGAGAAAGCTTTCAATACTGGGAGTCAGAAGAAGGCTAGATGCCGGGGAAATTCTCTTATTAATTCTCAGGAGTTTAATACCTTTGGCTAAGAGATGGGACATTTAACAACAAAACCCATACTACCACAAAAAACACAAGCAAAAAGCATTTTAATTTTTGTGCTGAGATTTCAGTAAATGATTTGATCATATCTAATTATATGTCCCTGATTATTATCACAGTAGCAAACTGTAGAAAAGCACCATTGAATCACATGAGATTTGTTCTTGATCTCACTGAGGACTTCCTGCAGCTTTCCAGCTATCTTTCCAGTTACCATTTATTTATGCTTGAGAGACAAAGAACATTATACAGACTCCTATGTTTGGTTGCACCATGCAGATAGGAAAAACCATTGCTCGACTAATTTACCTACCAAATGTGAACATCCAAGGTACACATTAATATTAGGTATTATATATTACTTTAAGTCACTTTAAATCTTTCCAATCCAAGGAAGCTAATCATATTCAGTGACTTTTATGTAGTTCAGGTGAGTTAAATAATTTATAATAGAGTCTTATTTATTGGCCTCGAAAGCAGATAATCCAAAGGTGGGCCCAGCTTAGATCTGTGGCTCACCTAGCTGTTTTCTTCACTTCTCCAGACCTAGGGTGACAACTGCCTAATTTGCTACCTCTCTGTTCCTGTATCTAACTGAGAGAGAAGGGAACAGTGATATAAAATAATCGATACAGCAAGTCCAACTACCAGACTTTAATTTGCCAAATGACCAAGCTAGACTCTACAGATATGCATGTATTAAAAATGAAACTAGCATATTGATTCTTTTTCTGGAAGTGAACCAAGCTGCCAGCCTGGAAGTAGAAAATAACTTAGGATTTAAGAAATACTTCCACATAATTTATTTTTCCAGCGCTGGGGATGGAACCCAGAGTCTTGTGCATGCTAGGAAAGTACTTTATAACAGAGATACAACCCTAGCCCATAAACACGATCTTGATTCTTGAGATCTAGGTTTCAACCAGAACTAGTTTAACCTACTAGTTCCTCTCCTGAAACTGAGGTTAGTCATACAAGTGTATATATAAAACTAGAAGATAAAACAGCGAAGCTCACAGATAGTGTTCTGATCTTTTTGTAAAGATGTCATTTTTCTATCACTAGAACCAATATTGAAGAGTATTTTGTTTAAAAAGGAATAAAACGAATAAATAATTACACTTTTATAGAAGAAATTTTAGTAACCTACCCTAATACTTAAATCCACATTAACTATTTGAGAGTCACTGTGTTCGTTTCCCGTGGCTGTTGGAATGAGTAATAATTTGGTGGGTTGAATCAATACAAATTTATTATATTACATCTCTGGAGATGAGAAGTCCTAAAAGTTAAGCTGTTGGCAGGGCTGTACTCCTTGGTGGATGCCCTAGCAGAGAATCCATTTGCTTGCACTTTTCAGCTTCCAGACTCCACCTGCCTTCCTTGTTCATGGCTTCTTCCTCCATCGTCAAAGCCAGTGGCACCGCATCTTCAAATTCTTTTGTCTCTATCCTTTGCTTCTGGTATCACATCTTCTCTGATTCTGATCCTCCTCTTTTTTCTTCTCACAAAGATCTTGTGATTACACTGAGCCTCTCTGGCTACACTGGCAAAGTCCTTTTAATCATATATAGTAACCTATTTATAGGTTTCAGAAATTAGGCTGTGGACAGCTTTGGAGGCCATCATTCTGTTTACATAGTCACTAAGGTTGCACATACAAAAGAGAATATTGACATATCTATGTATCTATCTGTGTAACATTCACCAAGACAGCTTGCTAAAAAAAATTCATTCACAAGAAACTACTAAAATAAAACAATGAAAGATCTGTATCCTTTCATAGAACCGAGTGTAGAATTTCTACGTGACATGATTATTAGAAAGGACAGACAGGAGGCTTTCCCCCAAAATGTGTTTTGCCAAAGCAAAAATCAAGCAAGGCTTATCTCTCCGTGCATCCCAGTTGCTAGAGACAACATGTGCTTGTTCATTCAGATATTGCTTTAGGCCTAATGCTGACATGGTAATAGCCTCATGGACACTGATCACGCTAAGTGTTACCTGTTTGAATAAAGCGTAGTCCCGTCGTGTGCATAATGTTCACTGACATACAAGGAAGAAGATGAAATTGTGGTTGTCAAGGAAGCAGCTTCAAATAGTGATGGAGTGCTGGGCACCAGGTCTGGCCTGTGTCGGGATCCCAGGGCTGGGGAATGAAAGGGACACACTGTCATGGATCTCAGTAATACATGCTTGCTTTTGTATCTCTAATAACTAGAACTAGTCCAAACTATTCATTTTACATATCAGGCAGCAAATGAACTGTGCTCTTCTGAATTACAGTAGAAATGTAAAAGAGCTGCTTGCAAACAGGTTAAACAGAAAGGAAACTGCATTAATTTCCAAAATGGCTTATGGAAATGACATTAGGGATATTCTTTTAAAAACCTAATAAAGCGATTTATTATTTCAAAACAATGGCATAAAAACTCCTGGAAGCTTAAGGAGATAATTTGACAGAGATTAAAAGGATGACAGGCAGATGAATGAACAGAGGGCGAACCTGCTTTGCCTTTGCTATGAGATGCATGTATCTGGGAATCTCAGTATATGTAAGAAGAATTTTCAGGGCCAGAACAGTTTGCTATGCCTTAATCTACAGGAGCCCAAGAGTCCTCCCTTGTCAGGAAAGAGAATATTCCAGACTGAGCAGTGAAACATGCCCATCTTTTCAGAGTCTAGGTAAATTCTTTTCCATTTTCCCTGCAAACTGAACTAAAACATGATAATAAATTAATAAATACAATATAAGCTTCTGGCATTCCTTGTTAGGCACAACAGATTCAGAGTTTGGGATTTTTTAGTGTATAAATGGAAAAGGACTCTAAAAGGCATGATGTTGTGGGTGTAAGGTTGGGTTTGAATTCTTTACTTTTTGGTTGCTGGGATCAGATCTAGGGCTTTGTGCATGCCAGGCAAGGGCTCTACCTTGTATCACTGAGTTACATTCCCTCAGCCCAGGTTGTGCAATTGAAGGAGTATATATTTTGGGGTAGAGAGAGACACACAGGGACAAATGGGGCATGGACAGGGCTGGACTTTGGTCAGGAATCTAGAAAATACATTAAAACGCATAGATAGTGGAGTTCTGCCTCCAATTCAGGTGGAAATAAAGAACTGTCATGGTGAATACCAGATGATGACAGTATAAAACCATGAGTAACCAATGTGTTCAACATTCAAACCTCAGAAAGGTTTCAATTGAACATGGCATCTGTTAGCAATCTTTAGTATACTTGATCCTGACTTCATTAAATACAGAGAAAAATATGAAAACCCTTAATAATATTGAAACCTGAGTCTGAAAAATAAGCTGACATCAGATTCCAGTGAATTTCTACTAATTAGAAGGCAGATGGAGCTGGATTTTAAGAATACCAAAGCAGACTTAGGTCTTGGGGATGATTAGCTCTATGAACTGAATGACAGTGAATGTAAAAATGGTCACACACCATCCAAACACTGAGCAACTGGCCCCACCACACTGGGGAGCAGCTCTTTGAAGCAAGAAACTACTTCTTTATCCTCCCGCATCTTTTTTGTTTAAAAAAAAAAAAACAACATTGTGATTGGTAGAATATGTATATATGTGACTACATGACCAATATGATTCTGTAACATATATATTCAGAAAAATGAGAAATTATATCCCATCTATGAATGATATATCAAAGTGCATAAATGCGTTCTACTGTCATATATAACTAATTAGAACAAATAATAAAACTTAAAAAAAAAAAAGAATTCTAAGATGATTTCCAGCGATTCACACACTTGTATGACCTCCTTTTGAGTGTGGAAGGAACCTGAAAATATGATCCCGTGATTATTCTATGTGATCTGTCAGAAAGGGATTTTGCTGATGTAATCTTGGTTACTTTGAGTTGGGTAACTTTTAAGTTAGTCAAAAGGGAGATTATCCAGGGGAATCTGATGTAATCATACAAAACCTTTAAATTTGGGTCTGGAGGTCCGAGACAGGAAGAGTTGAAATGCTGAGAGGACTGACTTACTACAGGAACTGTATTCTGCTGACAATATGATGACACCTTGATTTCTGCTTTTCAGACCCTGAGTAGAGTACCTAGGTATAAAACTGCCTGTTAATAAATAGGTTTTATTTTAACCTGCTAAATTCTGGGTAATTTGTTCCATGTCAATGGAATATAATCTAAACATGCTGAGAATTCCAGAAAACAAATGGTAAAAACTGGAGGAAATTTTGGCAATGACTTGGTGCACTCTGGAAGGAGAAGTCCCCCAGCATGGAGCATTATGAAGAGGCAAACCCTGTACGTGAAGGAACACAGGAAAACTCGTTTTATAATAGGATATAATAAAATAGGAACGTGCTTCAGGACTGGGGTTGTGACTCAGTGCTTGCCTAGCACTTGGGAGGCACTGGGTTCAATCCTCCCCAATATGTAAAATATAAATAAATAAAATAAGATTTAAAAAACCGAATATGCTCCAAAGGGATTTCTTTGACCCTCAGAGACATTTTCAGGTGTAACATCTCTAAATTTGAAGCAATAGGTCTAAGAATTCATCAAAAAAAGTATGGTATGTATATTTAGTGCTTCCCACGTTTCCAGACTTTCTGGATACCTTGTAGTGTATTTATTTCCCCTTAACAGCTGGACCTACTGCTTGAACTTCAGCAGGGTTCCTTACAGGAAGGAGGTGGTGTCTGCCAGGAACTGGAGCCATCAATTCAGAGAAAAGAACAAGGACACCTCTTTTGCTGAAATCAATAACTTGTTCAAAGTTTGGTTTATGGAAAGATGAGAAAGAAAGAGACCTAATAAAGTACACATGGATAGATGTTGCAGAATGGGATGGAATTAACGCCCTAAGGCCTCGGAGGAAAAGAAAACTCCTGCAAGAGTTCTTATCTTCTATAGGAAGCAAAAGGCATTTTTAGGAAATGTTGGGATTCTAAAACAATATGCTGATAAAAAAGAATGTACTGATAGAAAAATTTAAAGTGTCACTTCCCCTTATTGCATTTAAAGAGAAAAACCAAATGGTTAACTCAGTAAACAGAGAAAAATATTTAATAAAATCAGAAATTGAGTACTACCTTCCTTGATAAAAAGCTAGGGGAGGGCTGTGGCTGTGGCTCAGTGGTAGTGCACTTGCCTGGCATTTGTGGGGCACTGGGTTCAATTCTCAGCACTGAGTATTAATAATTAAAAAAAAAAAGCTAGGGGGAAGAAACAAAAAGGAACTTCCTTGACTTAATTATGGGCACCAAGTTCAGCAAATTTCAACAGAGAAACATGAGAAGCATTCCCTTTAAAATCAGGACAAGGCCAGTCTTCCTGCCATCACACTTATATTCACCATTGTCCAGATATCCTAGCCAGCAAGGAAAAGGGAAAAGGGATGTGAGTTCCATGTAGCCGCAGCAGACAGACAGAACTCCCAGTTTTAAGAGAGATCCTACTTCAAAAGGCAGGAAAAAAAAAATTCTGTATCTACCCAAAGAAGGAATCTAACGAAGTGTATTCATGCTATGTAAGGAAAACATTATAAAACTTTATTTAAATTCATTAAATCTCTAAATAATTGAAGAGGCAACTTGTTACATTGTATATGTGTTTGTACATACGTGCACAGAAAGCCTAGGAGTGAAAAAAACAAACTATTGATATGTTACCATCCGATTGTGGGATTATAGATTTCTCTTTTTGAATATTTTAGTATTTTCTAATTTTTCTACTGTGAATTTATGTTATTTGTATAAATAAATCACTAGAATTTTCTTCTTTTCTTTTCCTTCTTTTTTCTTTTGCAGTACTAGGGATCTGATCAACTGAGGGCCTCTGGATTGCTAGGCAAATGCTCTGCCACTGAGAGCCCTTTTTCTGGTTTTTGTAAGTCACATGTCTTTACCTTCTTCATCAAGGCTGCTAAAACTCTGTCCTTCAGTCAAGAGATCCCGTTTTTCGTCCTTCCACTCCTGGCTAACTGAAGACACAATCTCCTGTGAGGTCGCCTTTAAGGCGGCGATGGAGTTGCACCGTTTCTTAGAAGGGGAGGCTTTCAAAGCTGGGCAGTGAGGGAAGGGAGAGGGAAGGGAGAGAGACAAGCACAAATGCTTACAAAACCAGATTCACATTTTAAAATTAATATTTTATTATTTGTTAGCATTTTAGTCATTTCAGTGGAAAGTGAGAGCCTTCTTATGTATATTACATAGTATATATTATACATATTATATATTATACAATATATATGGAAAGTCTTATTTCAGATATATTTATAAATATATACAGATATATACATACATACATACAGATATATTTATAAATGTATATTTATAAATATAGATATATTAATAAATTATATGTGTGTGTACATATATATATGGCTTCTTATAAAATTATTTGTGTTTTGACCACATCATTTGTCCAAAATGACTTGATTAACCCCAAATATCTTAGAATAAATTAAAGTTGGAATTTATTTCCAGATTTTAAAATAAAGTCTTATTTGAGGTCAACTTCAAATGTTTTCTTGCTAAAGAATTACTTTCCTTCAGAACTAAAATGGAGTAAATTATATTCTATGCATGTATGATTATGTCAAAATGAACCCCACTATTATGCATAACTATAATGTACTAACTTTAAAAAAAATTACAGATTCCTGGGTCTCAAAAAAAATTATTTTTCTTCCTCCAAACAATGTTTTTCTAGGGCTGGGAGCTGGCTGGGTGAGTGGGTAAATGCAGATGGTAAAGTATGAAGAATTCTCATGACCCTGGTTTTATTAACTGGGGACTGGGAATTTCTAAACATGCCAGTGTTTAATCTTATGTTGCTCAATTTAGCCAAGTTACTTCTGGTTGCTTTTTTCCCCCGTTACTTTCCACTGAAATTTCCTACTCTTTGGTTCTTTTCTAGGTCATGGTTATGTGAGATGCGTAATTCACTCCTGATCTTTGTCCATACAGCATTCTCTACCTTCAGAAGGGTGTTGGGAATCTGAACCTAAGAAAATGTCTTGTTTGCTGAGGGCTGTGAGCTGATTAAGCTGTAGTCAGATCATCCCTACTTATATTTACTTCTGCTGTGATCATTCTTCTTGGCTTAATGTTGTTAGAAAATTCACTGGAGGAAAATGAAGGAGAGAGAAGTTGAGGCTTCTTTATGTTTCCCCTGAATTTATTTTTGGCAGTGCCTCTCCTCCTTTGGATGTTTGCATAAAGGGGTAAGCTGACAGCAAATGTATTAGTAACTGTGTAACTGCGTCCAGCTTTGGAAATCTCAGGGTGCAGGTCACCTGGTCATCTGGGGCCTTCTCATGGGCAGCTTGCAAGAACTTAATTGGAGGAGGATTCTGGGACACACAAATGAGGGAAGAATAGAGGCCAGTCCTTCTGCTTACAGAGAAGGAAGGGTTATTTGTTCCTTGAGCAGTGCCTCATCATCATCATAAATAATGTTTGCAGAGGGCTTTAGAGTTTGGAAGCCAACATTCACATTGCATATCTCAAATTATCCATGTGTCTAGAGATGTTGGTCCTTTTTAAGGACCTGAAACTGAGAGTAGAAAGACTTGCTCCCGGTCATGACCCCCAGGTGTCTTTCCTGTTTTCTTCATTTGCCTAATTGCTGGTTCTTTTTCTAGCTCTTCAGCATTCTATATTCTGGTTAAAGTGTGGAGGGGGAAAAAAGATAAAACTAGAGTTTGTGTTTCTCTGAGAGGAGATTTGAAATGTTTAAAACTGATCAAAATTGATTTTAATGACCACTAAGTTATTAAATAAGTCATGTTTTCCTTAATTTCCCATTTATTCAACAGTGGTCACTCTTGTTTTGCAGGTCTGAAGTACTAATCCACACACGGCTTCTGCCTCAACATTCTATCTGCTAACTTCTATAAATCTTTAATAAACTATGATAAATTCCTGTCTCTCCACATAGCACTTTTAGACTTCTTAGGACTTCATAGGACTTCAGATGTGGTTTGAGGACTGCCCTCGTCCCCTGAGACCCTCTCAGATGATCTGCAAGGTTAAAACTATTTTCATAAAAACATGAAGGCATTATCTTTTCATTTCATTCTCCCATGCACACAGCTTTCTAGACTACATGACCTGTAACAGCACCACAGACTGAATTCACAAATATATGTGAGACTCCAACTGTCTTCTACTAAGCCAGACATTAGAGACTTGAGAAAAAGGGAAAATAATGTCACTTTTCTCTTGAAGTTAGTTGTTTTGGAGAATACAATTATTTGTGACAACAATTTTTTATGTTAAAATTATTTTACTTTATATAAAATTGACTTGTTATTATAAAATTTTTTTTAATGTTACCTAATAAGATTAAAAAATTTTTAAAAATTCTCAATTTAAAGTTTTATATGTGAAATATAGACAGTTATACCTAAATAAAAGCTCAGTAATTTTTTTTTGAGAGTAGAAAGTGGCTCTGAGGCCTAAGGGTTTGAGAACTGCTCCTCTATATGCTTGCATATGCTTGCTCTGAGGTCACTGCTAATTCTCTGCACTGAGAAACAGCTTCTATCACAGAGCTTTGGCAGCCCTAAGGAAGCATGAGGGAAGAGAGGACAGCCTGGTGACTAGAAGACACTCAGGGAGCCACACTTAGGTGTGTTAGTGCAGCGAGGGCCAAGGGTCTGGAAAGAGAAACAACACTTTGTTCATTAGTGTCACATGTAGTGAGGAGCAGAGAGGACCCGAAGGCAAACTCCTACATCTAAAGAAGGAGTTTTCTTTTATCGTAAATGGTGAATTTCTTCTTAAAGGGGAGAGCTGAGCCTCTCTCAACAGTGAAGGATTTGGATCTTGCTGAAAATCAAATACCTTGATTTATGTTTGTCTAAACCATGTCCAGTGATAGGTGTCCTGTGCCCTTTTCCAGCTTAGGTTCTGCCACTCAGTTATGTGTATACTTGACCATTTTTTAGTTCACCTATTTATCTGCCCCTCTGAAATCTACCATGCTTATTCCTATGCCTAGGCCTTTGACTCTCTTCTTATGAATTCTGGCTTAAATAGAACTTAGTTTAATATCCTTTTCTTTGTAAATCTCTTTTTTAGAGAATTGGTCTTATTTTTTTGATCTACTCATAGCATTGTATGCAAAATCTTTATTAGCAATGGCTTTATGGCATTGTAAATCTATTATATGGTTCAGTCCCTAATTCAGAACAATTAATTTTTAAAAGCTTCCTATATTTCAGTGGTTATAAAACTTCTAGGCGTATGATAGGAGCATAAATGTTGGTTGAATGAATGTATTATTGTTCTGAAATCTTAGGACAATTGAGTTTCTAGCAAATAATTAATCTAATCACTATATTCTAGTCTGTAAATGAGTTTTAGCTGGGTGTGGTGGCACATGTCTGTAATCCCAGCAACATGAGGAGGCTGAGGCAAGAGGATCACAAGTCTGAGGCCGGCCTCAGCAATTTAGTGAGGCCCTAAGTAACTTAGCAAGACCCTGTGTCAAAGCTGGGGATGTGGCTCAGTGGTAAAGTGCCCCTGGGTTCAATCCCCAGTACCAAGAAAAAAAAAGAAATGTTTTAGCTTTTTAGTCATATTATTTGGGTAGAGGATTTCAGTGAGCATTTAACACATGGTGACTATTATTTCTATTTCTAGGAAATACAGAATTTTATAGACATTATTACATTGGCAGCATGACTTAATTCTGAGTTGGGATGAATGGATTTAAGAAATTAAAAAAAACTAACTTGAAAAAGAAACTTGAAGACCAGGTACTAATTTCTTAGAGGTGGTGGCAGGGTCTTTACTTACAAAGAAAGTTTGCCTTTAGGCCTGGCTACAGAGTGGGGAGATGAGATTAAATGGGGCATGACCTGAGGCAAACAGACTTGTGTGAGGGCCACAAGTTTACTTTATGAATTTGAACAAACTTTTCTCCAAACAAAAGGTAAATCACTAGTAAGTACATAACAAGATGTTCAACGTCCTTAGTCATTGGAGAACTGCAAATCAAAATCACAGTGAGATACTACTTTATACCCCCTAGGATCGCTATAACAACAACAACAAAAAGACAATTATATATGTTGATGAGAATGCACAGAAACATATATTGCTGGTGGAATTGTAAAATGGTGCAGCTGCTTTGGAAAAGAGTTAGGTAGCTCCTGAGAATTTTAAATAGAGTTGTCATCTGACCCAGCAATTCTAGGTATACACATGAAAGTAATGGGATATTCATCCACATAGAACCTTGTACATGAATGTTCATGGCAGCATTACTCATTCCAGCTGAAAAATGAAAACAAGCCAAATATCTGTCCACCAAGCACAGAAAAAATGTGGGATCTCTGTATAATGAAATATTATTCAGCAATAAGAAGAATAAAAGTATTGGTACATACTACAACATGGATTAACCTTGATGGATACATGCTATAACATGGATAAAGTCAAACACAAAAGGCCACATACTGAATGACTGACATGAAACATCCAGAGTTGGTAACACCATAGAGACAGAGAGTAAATGAGTAACTGCCAGTGGCTGCAAAGAGGAGCAACAGAGTGGTTGCTAATGGCTATGGAGTTTCTGCTGGGGGTAACAAAATTGTGGTGAGGATTGTGCAACTTAGCATACTAAGAACCACAGAATTGCACACTTTAAAGGGTGAATTTTGTGGCTTGTGAATTACATCTCAACAAAACTGTTTATAAAAATAGACTATTACATCAAAATGGGAAAAAGTCAATAGATTTACTACTTAACAAGAAAAACACTTGCTACATTAAAAACACAATAAATTCCTTAGCACTTTCAGACAACTATAAGACATGATGAACAATGCAGACTGGGAAAAATTTTAACACATGCTATGTTTTCTAGAACTGAATAAGCCATTGCTTATACCATTAATTTGTATGCTATTTAGAAAAAAAACCAAAAACAAACAAACAAACAAACAAAAAAACCCCACTTTCCAAGGTAGGAGACTCATGCAAAGAGCCTCCCTGAGGTGGGGACATTAAAGGGCCACCTCCTCTACAAACCTACCAGGGACTGCAAGGGAACTCATGGTTTCCAGTCTTGGCACAGGTAAGCAGGGTGAAAATTCTTCCTTAAACATTTGAACCACAAACTGATACTCACACAAGCTTGCAGTCTGAATAAACACTACTTTATGGCCCATTTTAGGCCAAAAAAACCTTAGGCAGAGAATTTAATTTATAGTGGTCTCAATTTGACAGTGATTTTAAGATACCATTGAGACAGTTGAATGTACAAAAAAAGTTTTCCTTAGAATAATAAGTTAAAAAGGAGTTATATCTTTAATATGTAGAGTTCATATAAATCATCTGGAAAAATAATAAACACTCAATAGAAATGGTCAAATGTTATAAAGCTCAATTCTCAAAGGAATTATAAATGGCTAATAAAAATGACTAATGGTTGAACCTTACCCATACTCAAGATATGCAAAATGAAACAATCAGATAACATTTTTTACTTATCAGAGTAGCATAATTTAAAAAGCATAATGCTGGCTGAGAGCTGGTAAAACACAGACTTGTGGGAACCTTTAGTGGCACAATCTCTCTGTACAGTTAAGTGCATTTTAATACCATTATCCCTTTTTGGAATCTATCCCAAATAAATAATCCCTAATTTGGATCCAGAATTTGTCTGAAACTATGTTTTAAAAAAATATTAGTTAGAAATAAAAAAAAGAAACTATAAAATGCCTTATACTCAAAGAATGGTTAACTAGATTATAGCACATCTATATAATTTTAATGTTGCACTGCAATTTTAAATGATGTTTTTGTAGAACATTCAAGGATATGGGAAAGTATTCATGCTATAATGTGAAAAACAGAAGACATAAAAATTGTATACCATTATGTTACCAGTATTTATTTATTGTTTTGTGGTGCTGGCTGGAATTTGAACCCTTGCAATTGCTAAGTATGCACTCAGTTACTGAGCTACCCACCAGTTTTATATAAATACATAAAGTACAGAAATAAAAATTGGTAAGCCCCAATTACCGCCCACCTCCACCAAAAAAAAAAAAAAAAGAAAAGAAAAGAAAAAAAGACTGGTAAGAAGAACATTAAAATATTAGAACTGGGTATCTCTGGGTCACTGGATTTTAAGTAATTATCAATGTTTTCTTTGCATCTTTCAAACTCCAATATTATAAGAAAAAATGTCTTATATAAATATAAAACATGAATATTCTACTCTTTCTATTTTTTTGTGAGTGACTAAATTATCATGGTCTGTGTTATAAAAGTGGACCGCAGAATGGCTAAATTATAAAATAACAATGCATTCATTACAGGGTTATTTTCTTCTATCACATAGTTAAAAACTTACTACATAATACTACATATATACTGTAGAAAATTTAATAAACACCAATAAGAAAGAAAACAAGATCCCACACATAATTTTCAACTCAAATTAACCATTATTAGCTTTGAGTTTAGTTTGCTTTTCTTTTTAACTCAAGGTTTAAAGTTAGAATACTGATGTATGATTTTTCCTATTTTTAAAATATAAGTGTTTTCATCTCTAAGTTTTCCCTTGAACACTACCTTTCTCATAAATTTTTTGAATGTGTTTTCTAATTTCCCTGTGATTTCTTCTTTAACCTATTGATATTTTAAGAGAGTGTTATTCAATTTCCATATATTTGTAAGTTTTCCAGTTTTTGTTCTTTATTGATTCATTCCACTGTGATCAGAAAAGATACTATGCATAACTTTGATCTTTTTTAATTGATTAAAATTTATTTTCTGGTCTCACATTTACTCTATATCCTGGAGAATACTGTATGAGAATAACCACTGTTAATGGTTTTATATATTTCATTAGAATTCTGTTGTACATTTAAGGTATACAGACCAATAACTACATATATGTGAATAAAACAATATTTAAGGGACTAAATATACCTTTAATAGGTCATTTTTATTGGTTACATACTATTTCATGATTTGATTGTATCATAATATTCTTAACCAATATATTTTATGACTGGACATAAATACAACTTCTAATTTTCTTCACCAGAAAATAGGACTAATGATTATGGCATCAATAAATAACTGATTGGGATAATTAGTCACACTAAGTGTTTACCACTACAGGGGAAAAAAAAATGTTCTAACTCTTGTAATAAAAATCGTGCATGGTCCAAGATCAAGGAGCTGGCAAGCTTGGTGTTTGTGAAAGCCTATTCTTCAGAGAAGGCACCTTTGAGGTGTGTTCACATGACAGAAGAGACAGAAGTGGAAACAGAAGCTAAGCTAGTTCCCATCTGCTTTTTTATAAGTCATTAATTCATTCATGAGGAAATCTATTCATGGCAGAGTCTATCTTGGATATATAATTGTTCTATGTCAAGTAAGATCAACATGAGGGATGTGGAAGTTTGGTTTATTAAATAGTAATTTTACAAAAAAATTCTGGCATGGATACATGTTGAAGTTAGCAACTAAGTGAAACAAGTAAGACATTTTCATAAGACTCTTACCTTGAATTTTCTTGAAAACTCTGGAATTCATAAACTTTAGAAATCTGTCTGCATAAAAACTTGGTCTATGAACTGAAACGGTGTCCTGAAAAGACAAAACAAGGATCACAGATTTACCTCTCAGGGAATTCATCCCAAGGCAGAGGGAAGATTTTTGCAAGTGTTTCTGTCAGCTGAGGTCTTTTTATCAACAGTGGTCAAGAGCTAGAGAAGAGTGTTCTGTATCCTGCAGGGCCGTGGGCTGTGGGGGAGGACCCAGACTCAATAAGAACAAAGATTCTAGAGTGAATAGAGCACCAAGGGAGACAGACAGAAGACTCTGCTACCCAAATTGGAATAGATGATCCTTATTCATAACATTGTGTCCCTGGAGGTACTTTCAAATCCTTTTCTTATAGGTAACCAGTGCTTCCAGTGCCACTGAGAATGAAGGGTATTCATTCAGTCATGAACAAAAACTGGGGACATAAGCAAAGCACACTGATACAAGAGTGACATTTAAATTAAGAAAGTGTTCTGGTGTCATCTCCAAGTAGCCGGGTGAGTAGACCCAGGAGGATGCACAGGAGACATGGTTGACCGGTACTGCACTGAATTACCTACCATCACACAGAGCTGACCTGCACGGCTAACTCAGTTCTCTCATGCTTGGTAGGAGTCTTTAGGACTGAAGGGCTGTTTATTTACAAATCCAGGAAAGGGAATGGATGAAGGGCTGATTCTCTATGTTCAATCAGCAATCATTTATTGACCATTCAAGTTGTACATTTCTAGAAATGGCAAGTTTATTTATATGTATGATGCTCCATTTTGAATCCAGGTTATGGATTTTAATAGGGAAAGTTTCTAAGAATTTAAGCTTAGATACTACAAAATGGCTGCTGGGAGAAAAAACACACTTGACCAGAAATCAGGAGAGCTGGTTCTGGTATAAGTTCTAACTTTAAAAGGTTGTGTGAATAGCTGGGTATGGTGGCGCATGCCTATAGTCCCAGTGGCTTGGGAGGCTGAGGCAGGAGGATTGCAAGTTCAAAGCCAGCCTCAGAAAGGCCCTAAGCAACTTATCAAGACCCTATCTTAAAATAAAAATAAAATGGGCTAGGGATGTAGGTCAGTGGTTAAGCGCCCTGGGTTCAATTCCCTTCCTGCCCCCACCCCAAAAGGCTGTGTGATATTGGGATCAGCCAGGCTCAGGGCCTCAGGGTCAGCCTCTGTAAAATAGTGTGTTATGTGAGCGGTACATGTGCTTTCAGCCAGGATAATCTGTAGTTCTGTAATTAGCATGTTATGAAAGACACAGTGTGCTAGACCCATCTTCACCAAATTACAACAGCCCTCCAGGCTCTCAGCAAGGCGGGAATGTGACAGGCACTCTTCCCAGATCCTGGCAGCTGTTGTCTGAAGCAGGATGCAATGGTACCTATAGATACCTGAGACTTTGCCTTTAAAGGAGTTCCACTAGTGCTTTCGTTGATATGAAGAAACACTGTCTAAATAAGAGCCATATTTGTGAACAAACAAAACCAAGCCTTGAATATTATGTATGATTTCACAAATACATAATCAGCAGAGATTTTCTTAAAAAAATAAACCACAACCAGAAGGTACGTTTTAAATGGACAAAGGTAGGGGTCTCTTAGAAGCCTCTGGCCGATGCAGGATAAGGTCATTGAGATCAGAAATCTCACTTGTGGTTACTAAACAGGTAACCACACTTGTCTCAGAAAAACAGCAGAGGAATAACCCAGGGGAATTTCTCTCTCTCTCTCTCCCTTCCATGTTCAAGGTGATGTAGTCCCCACCTTTCTCATTTGGAAGGAGAATTAAAATTACCCCTGACCTTTTCATTGGAGGAATCTTTGATCTGATAAGGCTTGGGTTAATTCTTAGAAACAAATTTGTGAGCCTGAAGTTTAAAAGTGCATCCTGACATAGGGCAGTCCTTAGCCTGTGGACAAAATGCAGATCTCTCATGCTGAAAGGTTATTAACAGTCTTCCACAGAATTGAAAAATGTGTGTTCTTTTCCAGAAAGGAAAAGAACAGCATCCATAATTTATCTTTCAAAGTAAAGCGTCTGCTAGCATCTTAAAAGGAAATGTGTGACTGAATCCTTGACCAATATATTCTTTGGATGTGACATATCAAGTTATTAACTGAGAGAGGCTGAAGTAGGGCCAATAAATGGTCTGTTAGCAGCAGGAAGTTCAAATCTAATGTCTAGATGTGTCTCTATGGGTGTGTATGTGTGCACGTGTGTGCATGTGCAGTGCCCATAAGAGAGAGAGAGAGCCAGAGAGAGAGGAAGACTACTTTCTCTTTGATATTTAAATTTTTCTTTAATTACATTAAGACTTAACTCTTGGGTTGAGGATGCTGCTCAGTGGTTAAGCACCCCTGGGTTTAATCTCTGGCACCAAAATAAAACAAAACAAAAAAACCCATAACTCTTGTGACATCTTCCTGTCAGTCAGCATGTATATAAATATGTAAATCCATAACACATATAAATCTGCACTACCTTAAACATTTTCACTTCCTGTGTCCTTATTAAGTGTTTGGCTTCTGGCTGAATATGCACACGGATTATTTTATTTCATCCTCATAGCAGGCCAGTACTACTATAATTGCTCTGTTATGATGAGAAACCAAGGAGAGGCCAAATCACAAGCAGTGAGCCTTGCTCACATGGTTGGTCAAGTGGTGATGGCAGAGTTCAAGTCCAGGGGTGTCCACCATCAAATTCAGGGATCAAGCTACTCGTGACCTGGTCTCCTGAGAATCTTATTTCAACAGCCCTACTATTCTCAGTGTCTTTTTGAAAAGAGATTTTTGCCCTCCTTATCTCATAATTGGGAGCTTTGCATTTCCCACAGAAACAGCTATCATTTTGTTCTTGGCCTCTACTAAGCCACTAGGCTGGATGTCATCTATATGAATAGTATTTGAATTTATGTGGTCTTTGTTTTTAGTGTGGACCAATCTATTAGTCTAAGACTCTGAGTTTATAACGACCTTTGCTCCTTACCTCTTAACACGCAATGTCACAGTTTCCTAGACACATGTAGAAGTTTCTGAGGAACTAAAAATATACGCAGTTTAACAAGGAACATCAGTTACTTACACCATCATAAACAAGAGCTTTCCAGGAGTGTTCTAACTTCTTCATTAACCTACATGTAAACAGATAGAAAAATAACCATGAAAATGCAGAACCACTCATATCTGATGAATTTTCAAAAACATTTTGGATGACTTGAAAATAATAAAAGACCACTTCCCCAGATGTCTCACCTGTATGATTGTAGAATGTCAATAATGCCCATAAATAAAAGTAGTTTTTCCCCCTTATGGCTTTTAGCTGGAATGCCTCCCATTCTGTTGATAGAACAAAAGAGAAAATATTTTATTGAATATTTTAAGACTAGAAAAATTAAAAATATTTATAATAAATAGATTGAAAATAAATATCTTTTAAGAATTCTTTATCTATCTATCTATCTATCTATCTATCTATCTATCTATATATATATATATATTTTTTTTTTTTTTGCATCCAGTTAACGGTCTTCCTGGCAATCCAGAATGATGTACTTTCCCATAATGGAGAAACATCATAGCTGTCAGCTCTGAAAAGTTGGATGAGAAGAATCCAACTTAAAAATTATTTCTCTTTTAAAAGCGTGGCCAAGAACTCTTAGAACATAATAAATATTATTTTTAAAAAATGCAATGCTCTTTTTCTGATCAAAAAAATGTTTATTGTTGAGATTAAAAAATATAAGGCGCTAGAGTTGTGGCTCAAGGGTAGAGTGTTTGCCTAGCATGTGTGAGGCACTGGGTTTGATTTTCAGCACCACATATAAATAAATGGATAAAATAAAGGTCTATCAACATCGAAAAAAATAAAAAACCCATAAAACATAGAAAGGAATATAGAAAATATATTAAAAATCCACTCATAGAGTGAAGAGATAATTATTAATATTTGGTATACTTTGCAGTATGTTTATTAATCTATAAAGGGGATTATTTAATTTATCATGTTTTATAATCTGACTTTTTCACTTACTAAATGATGAACATTTCTTTCTTTTTTTTTTTTTGGTACGGAGAACTGAACTTAGGGGCACTTGATCACTGAGCCACATTCCCAGCCCTATTTTGTATTTTATTTAGAGACAGGGTTTCACTGAGTTGCTTAGCACTTCACTGTTGCTGAGGCTGGCTTTGAACTCACGATTCTCCTATTTCAGCCTCCAAAGCTGCACCTGGCTGATGAGCATTTCTTTACATTCAATGTACTGTGATTTTTAATAGCATGTAGTGTTTCACCATATGGATATAGGATAATTTAACTGATGATTGAACATTTAGATATAATCACAAGCAAAGATTACAACTAATTTCTTTTATAAAAGTAAAATATGCCTATGGTTTAGATATTGTTGGAGAATTCTAGAAATCAGGCCATTATAACCTCAGAAAATGATTTTTTTTCAGTCTCCTTGCTTAGCTAATACATGCATCTGATAAAGTTAACCACTTCAATAATTATTTTGGTTGTAATTGCTTCCATTGTCAATATGCACTTTACACATGCGAATGAATCCTGCAGTTACCATCACATCTGGCTGAGGAGAGAGACCACATCTGCCAGGGTGTAGGACTAGATCAACAGAATCCCCTCATGCAGATAAAAAGAGCTCGGAATTGTGAACACCATTCCTATCTTGTATTTGCTTAAATATATGTGTATTTCAATCCAAAGTTTATTCTTCCCTCTTATGGTTGATACTTTGAATATGTAGTAAATGGGAGCAGAACATTTTTGACCATTTTTGGAAAATGCAGACATCTGAAAAAAGAAATTTTGTGGGTGAAAGAACAACAACAACCAGGACACTGTCACTTGTCTAGTTATCCTTTGATGAAGAGAAATGAAGGCTGGTTGTACGGATGTTAGTGCCAAGTAGGAATCCATTCTCAGAATGCCATCTATTTCCATGTACCAGGTGTTAAGTGCTTCAGTGCTGAGGGGGGATGTGACTACTTATAATTACCCAGCGGGGCAGGGCTGTCACAATCAGGGTGGGCATGTGATTGCACTTACGTGTCTGGGTTCTCTGCGATGATCCCATCTCCAGATTTCCCTGGACCTTGGATGGATTCCATGGCTGTTGAATAGAGAACTTTCTGCATCCCAGGCCGCTTTGGATCAGGCACATTTTGTGAGTTCTCCTCCTCTTTGTCTTTAAGGGAATGGTCCAAGATGTGGATTCCCAGCAAAAGGCTGTAGTCCATGATCTTGAAGCTTTCCAGCACCTGAAGAAGAAAAAGACCCAAGAAGCCAGTTAACCCAAATGGCTTATAAGCCTCATCTTCATGGAATCAGAGAGCTCTAAATATGTAGATGCACTGCTCTTGCATCTCTCCCGTGGAGTGGCTGATGGAGGAAAAAAAATCCCAATAAAAACACTTGAGGTTATTATTAGGCCACACGCAGAAAGGACTGGTACAGTGGCTGCAAGATGAAATTTTTATGCAAATCTAAAGCAAGCACATCTTTTCTTAAACCTCCGTGAATGTTTTTTATTATCAGCATTTATTGAAAACTTTCCATGCACCAGGTGCTAAGTGCTTCACTTTCATTCAATCCTCATAACCACTTTATGATTTGGGTACTATTATTGGCTCTATTCTAGAGACCAAAAAAATAGAAAAATATAGCAATTTGCTCAATAACACACAGCATGCGACAGAGACCTAAGTGGTCAACTCCGGCATTCACACTCTTAATAAGCTCTAGAGTAGAGAAACCAATGGCCAATTGTCTCTACAAGCTTGTAACTTCCTCAGCATGAAGACTCAGCTGGAATGTGTGGTTGCTTGGATTCTGTTCTCAAAAATCTAACTCTTGCTAAGTTTATTGGTTTCCTTTTCAAAGCCTGTATCTCAAGGTTGCTAGTTTCCTGTAATCAGTCTTTTAAAAATATATGATCTCAACAAAGAATAGGACTTAATGCTTAATTATCCAAACGGCAGAGAGTGAGGAGGTGAAGAAATTAAAAATAATTGAATATATCTAGAAAAAAAAAAAGAGATAGTAATGCTCTGAAAGAAAAATGACAGGTGACATGGACTAGATAAGAGTCCTTCAAAATGGTTTCAGAGTTCAGGGGGCTTTGACACTGGGAACCCTTCCTAGGTAGAGAAAGAATGTTCAGAAAAAGTGTCTGAATATTGGGTGTTTTCCTCTATAAATTTTTTTCCTACTACTTTGTATATAATTCTTCCCTACAATGAACTATTTTTTTCTTTTTATCCCAGCCCTTTTTATTTTTAATTTGGGAAGGGTCTTACTAAGTTGCTGAGGCTGACCTTGAACTGGCAATCCTTTTGCCTCAGTCTCTTGAGTTGCTGGGATTACAGGTGTGCTTGACGGTGCCTGGCCAGCTTCTCATTCTTCTTAAACTCAACTGTTTTTGGTCAGATATTCATGATATATTAGAGAAGGGATAAGGTCTAGGGACTCAAAGACCTATCAGTGTCACTTCATGGATGGTATCTGACAAAGACTTTGGGTAATATATATACATATATATATATATATCTGCATGTATGTACACAGTCTTCAAAAGATGGTTTTCCTTGGGTAGGCATCTTAGCCATTAATGAGGACACCTGAGAGGGGGCTGTGAGTGTCCAATACCATGAAATGGTCCCCCTTCATCTTTCAAATTACTAAGTTTGTACTTTGAGAAAGGAGGCAGACAAGAGGAGATGAGAATAGAAACTCATTATTTTAGAAGTTTGAGACATGGAATTTTCTAACCCAAGAGATCTGACAGTGGTCTGATAGTGATGTGGAAGCAGCCTCCCTAACCTAAGAAGTGCAGTCAGGATTGGAGGAGGAAGGAGAAGTGATAGGTAATACTTCTCTGACTATTGACCCAATGCCTGAGGATCAGTCAGTTCTCCATGGCGGGGTCTTGCCCTGTTAGAAGCAGCAAGACCATGGAAAACAAGACTGTTTAGTGTCAAGCAGGCAGGGACACAGCCTCTTACCAGTGTTATTTTGGCCAATTTTGATTTTTCTAAAATTTCTGGGTTTGTGGTTACCCATAGTATCGCCTGGATGTTCAACAGGAAATGACAGGCCTTCAACCCTGCAATTCTGGTCAATGGCTCTAAAATGACTGCCTTATAATCTTTATGGAGAACATTCCTGGTTTCATCTGGTAAAGACTCAACCATGTTTCCCTGCATAGCCCACAGTACTCATTTGTAAATGATTTTTTTTTTCCAAAGTAGTGAACTGGCCTCAAAAACAAATTCTAATTAGACTGTAACAACACTGTGGATGTTCCTAACAGGCACCTGGAATCATTTCCTCTAGCTAGGAGTGGTGAAGACTGAAAAACAATCCTGACATCATCTTGTTTATTTCATTTTTCTCTGCAAAGTATCTGCAAATTAATTCTGCTTGTTAAAAGGCCTTCTTTATAAGACATTTTTCTTATATTTATTTAACGTAAACTGGTTTGGATTTGCAGTCCCATTTACTGTCCTTAGGTCAATTTTATAAGTGATAAGAAGTCAGGCTGTGGTCCAACTGTAACTACAGCATAGAGTAAGAAATGATCCTGATCATTTAAGCTGTCAAATACTTTTCTAGGTTGGTTGGTTTGTTGTGCAGTGCTGGGGACTAAAACCCAAGGCTTCATACAGGCTAGGCAAGCACTCTACCACTGAGCTACCTCCAGCACTTTTTATTTTATTTTGAGAGAGGGTTTCGCTAGTTGCCCAGGCTGGCCTGGAACTTGGGATCCTCCAGCCTCAATTTCCCAAGTAGCTGGATCATAGGTGTGTATCACTGCATCTGGCTCTGGGTTTATTATTATTATTTTTTAAAAGAATAACCTTCATATGGAGAAGAATAGTAGTTACCAGGGTCTGCGAAGGGTGTGAGGGAGAGGTGATGGAGACAGGATGGATAATGGACACAGGAGGAAGAACTTCTAATATTCTATAGATGAGTAAAAGAACTAACTCTGTTTGACAACAATTAATTATATATTTCAAAATATCTAGTGGAGAGGATTTTGAATGCTCCAAACAGAGAAATGATAAATGTCTGAGAAAGATGTTATATACCTTGATGTGATCACTATACATGAATCAAAATAAAACAATATACTCCATAAATATGTACAACTACTATAGCCAATTAAAATAAAAAAGTACATTTTAAAAATCTTCAAGAGAAACTTAGAAAAGGCTGTAAAAAGAGATTCATTTCCTCTTTACTCTTATATTGGATTGTTAGCATCGTGGAAGGTAACTGAATTGTTCTTAGGAGGACAAGGTTCCTCCTTTCAGAGTGGAAGGCTTAAAAAAGAAATTCTATTCCCATTATGTGAAAAGTTAATCATAAATCTTAGGTGTTTGGTTAGGCAAAAATCACCAGCCACAAAAAATGTCAGGAAACAAAAAGACATATATATATATATGCATATATTTTAAATCAAAATTTAAAACTTCTGTAATGGAAAATTCTGGGAGTAGATTTTTTAATTATGTGTTTTAAAGTTTTGCATCAGTTAGGAACAAAATAGTTCCATTATTCATATCCTCCCAGTTCTTTAATTAAAGGAATTAATAAATCTGCCAAAAACTTAACATGCACAAACTGCAAGAGTGAGCAACATTTGGTGACACAGCAGACGATCCAGTTCGTCACTTGGGTGCACATTTATTTCCAGAATGTCTGCCTGACCTCACAGCTGCTGGTAGATTCTGTACCTGTGCATTTGCCATTCAAAATGTAAGTTACAATGCAAACACAGGTGCCTTTCCATCTAGCTTGGGCACTTCTTTACCTTCTCACTTATAAAGTAAAATATCAGAGATCATTCCCACAGCTACATAAAACTGGAAGGAAGTTGGAATACTGCGGTGCTTTTTATTGTCAAGGTCAGAGAGATTTCTTTCTCTCTCAAGGACTATTTTAAGTCAATAATATCATTGAAAGACTGAGTGTAAGAGATGATGACTCCTGAATGAGGTGGGAGCAGCAGGGAGTCGGAGGGAGAGGTGGATACATTTGGGAATCTTTCAGACATAAATTCCAACTACCATCTTTCTAGAGACAATTCCTAAATTGCAATCTTTGGTTTGATCTCATCCCTAGCTGCACCCCAGTGGCCTTCTGGATATCCCTAATCTCCCACCCAGGGTCACATTGGGACCTTATTTTGCCCTGAAGCAGTTCTTTCTCTTCATTTCCCTTTTTCATTTGAAATCACTCTAATGATTTTTACTAATGTAGATTTCAGATTCCTCTTCCTTTAATTAAGTTGTCCAGTCTTGCAACTTTTATTATCAAAACATTCCTTCTCTGTAATGACTCATTTTCAACTTCCCTTTCAGATCCATTCTTGACCCCCTTGCTTTACCAGGTTCACAATAACCCCTCTTCTTAAAGCTTGTCATTTCTTGTGCCAATGCCTCTGTTTGGCCCTGAAGGTCCTTGCTACTATGGCCCCTACCAACATCTCTTTGTTTACTGCCATCCCAGAGATACTTCCCCCTCTAGTCAAACTGAAATTCTTTAATTATCCCTAAATGTGCTCTGAAGATGCAAGCCCTGATATTTTGCTCATGCTATTTCTTCAGGAAAGTTCTTACTATCTTTCTAATTCCCACTGTTTTTTTTTTTTTTTTCCCTTTTAGAGCCTAACTTAGCTTACCTAAATGAAAATTTTATTAATGATGTCAACAAATTGTTGGGAATATGTCTTCCCTCAGAAAACCCAACCACGTGATCATAATCAGTGTTCCTCCATGATTTAAGAATCTACCTCAGGTTTTATCTGTTATTTTTTTTTCGATACGCACAAAACTGCTTGGCTCACCAAAGGCTAGTTTTACACTGTGTTTTCTGTTGTGTGCTCTGAACATAGTAGGAATGCACATTTGCTATGTTGCAAATGTAAGTAAAAATCAAAATATTCTGCAGCAAAGAAGTTCTACCACTACATTCTTCTGTCTTAAATATAAGAAGTTGATACTTGTGCATCATCGTTATAATGCCTGTGAAAATTTTTTAGCACTGAAAACATTTATTGTGATTATGTGTTGTGTTGTCAAAAAAATAAAGATAAAAGCTCACAATGTTTCCAAACCTACTTACACTGTAGGAGCTGTATACATTCTGTGCCAAGGGTAAAACTCAAGCTAATATTGACAGACTCTTTTAATGTACTGTTTGATAGGCACACAACCCAATGGCAGAGCAAAGGCAAGTTGTTTTGCTATAAGCT